GGTGCTCCAGGAGCCAGGAGTCCTCGTGGCTCTGCTGATCCCCGTGCTGGGAGGCATATTACCCTTTTACTATATAGGGTAGAGGCCTGGTGCATGGGTGGAGGCTAGCTGGCCCTGAAGGGTGTCCTGGATCAGGGTGGGGGTCCCCACGGGGGTGCCTGGCCAGTCTGGGTGAGGGGCTGAGGGCTGTTTTCAGGCCGGGACTGAAGCTCCCAACTGCTCCTTTTTTTCTTTGTTCTTTTTTATTCTGGGCCAGCTTTAGCTCTGGCTCCAGCTCTGAGGCCTCAGCTGCTGTAAGTAGGTATCTGGTTTGTTTAGGTTCTATAATCGAAACTCTGTATCAACTCCAGCTCTGAGATCCCGGGCACGCTGAAAGCAGGTTTCTGGGGTTTTGTTTAGCTTCTATATTTGTTACAATATTTCTTAAACTGCAGGTGCAGAGGCTGGCAAGGCAGGCAGGGAACGTTGGTTTCCTCCTTCACTGAAGCAAGCAAGCCTCATGTTAGTTTCAAGCTGCCTGGCCGCCAGCCTCCATCTTGGCTGGCAGTTAATATGCATATCTCACTGATTAGCCAATGGGAAGGGTAGCGGTTGTATGCCAATTACCATGTTTCTCTTTTATTAGATAGGATAGATTGTTGATTGAAGACTAGATGTTGTGACTATTCACAGAGCTATGCATTCAATCCTTGCTCATTAAATACAGCCAGAATTGGGAATGAGAGGAAATATCTATTTTGTTGAAATGCAGATTAATTATATTGAGAAAATTGTTTTATTTAAATAGTTGACATTTATCACCAATCTATTTTTAAAAACTTGGTAATGCTTAAAATTTATTGTTTTAAAGTTTAGCTTTAATAGATATATGACTACAAAATATGTATCTACATTTCAATTCCATTCATATAGTAATCCAGAATGTCTGTGTGCATAAATTTGCACACTTGCAAATCAAAAAGGCAGAGTTTGAATAGACAGATGTTTTATTTATCCAATAATTTATCATACTGATCTTGCACTGGTTATGGACAGGAGGTTAATTTTGTTAATATGCTTTCTAAAATGCTATGTCAGCGCCCTCTTAGCGCAACAGGCAGCGCGTCAGTCTCATAAAATGCTATGTTATGTTAGTTGTACTAATGGTGGTATAGAATGGATACAAAATAAAATTATGAATTTTGATTCTCCAGGGTAGCATATTAGCATCTTGGCAGCATAAAATTTTTAAAATATACATTTGTATATACAAATACATGTAGGAATTGGGTTCCTCACTCTTAGAAAAGACTAATGCTAGATTTCCTTTCATACATAATATACAGTGTTATCTCATTCAAAGCAAAGTGAGAAAATTCAGGTTAAATTTTAAGGTACATTTTAAAAATAATAATATGAAAAGAATATTATCAAAATACACAATGCAGAATCCCACTCTTACACAATATAATTTGGATGGGACTTTCAATAAAGTGAATTTTGAAAGTGAATGAAATTTACCCTTTTATTCATTAAGACCTTTCTCATTCTTATAACTCCAAATCTCGCAGTATTATCTTATTCTCTGTGTAATAAGTTTAAAGATATATCCATTTTATTGCAAAATTCTAGGGCTAGAAAGGAATTTAGATTTTATAAAAAATCTTCCAGTATAACTGCCTGATTTAACACAGAAGGAATTTTAAACCCAAGTATATGGAATATCTTACTCAAACTCGTACAACTGGTCTTTAGTCCCTCAATTTTTACCAGTGGAGAATGGGTACACAAAGACTTTAACTTTTCAATGCTCTAAGCTTTTGTAGTATCTTTTTTTAGTTTGTGAAGTAGACAATCACAAAACCAGTTCTGGAAGTGAAGATTTGGGAAGCATTAATGTGAATAGTATTTACTCCATTTTTATTATAACAATACACGTTTTCTCATGTGTGTTCAGTACTATCAACTATAGAAAGGTGTCCCTGGCCAGTTGTCTCAGTGGTTAGAGCATTCGCCTGTGCACTGAAGGTCACCAGTTTGATTCCTAGTCAAGGGCAAGAACCTCGGTTTCAGGTTCTATCCCTGGCCCCAGTTGGGGTTGGGGTATGTGCAGGAGGCAACCCATCAACGTGTCTCTCTCACATTGATATTTCTCTCTCTCTCTCTCTCTCTCTCTCTCTCTCTCTCTCTCTCTCTCTCTCCCTCTCTCTCCCCTCATCCCTCCCTTCCACTAATCGGCCTGTGCATTGAAGGTCACGGGTTTGATTCCTGATGTGTGAATTTATTTTTAAAGTTTTACTTTCATATTTTAGCCTTTTCTGGCCAGACCTTTTGTTCTTCTGAAAAAAGTTCATAAAATAACAAATTCTTATGTACTGAAAACCAATGTGAAGTTTCAGATCTTTTTATTTTAGTTTTTAAACCTTTACTTTTTCACACATACGCTTAAATCCAAGCTGCACTTTTGTATTGGGGTAAAATTAATCAAATAGCTTTACCCTCACTTTAAATATTTTATTTTTTATCAAATTAATTTTTATTTTAATCCTCACACCAGGATATTTTTCCATTGATTTTTAGAGAGAATGGAAGACAGAAGGAAAGAGAAATATTGAGAGAAATTTGGTTTCTTCCTGCCTGCACCCCAATCAGGGCCCTGGCCGGGGAGGAGCCTGTGATCAAGGTAGGTGCCCTGGACCAGTATCGAACCTTTGGTCCACAGGTCAATGTTCTATCTATTGAGCCAAACCAGCTAGGGTTAATTAATTTTTATTTTGTACTAGAGACCTGGTGTACAAATTCATCCACAGGTGGGGTGGTCCCTTGGCCATTCTGACAATTGGGGCCGATCAGGGCTGGCTGGCTGGGAGGAGAGACTGTGGGAGGTTGGCTGTGGGAGTGCACTGACCACCAGGGGGCAGCTCCTGCGTTGAGCATCTTCCCCCTGGTGGCCAGTGAACGTCACAGCAACCGGTCTACCAGTTGTTCAGTTTACCAGTCATAACAGTCACTTAGGCTTTTATATACATAGATTTTTAGTTTCTCCTGGGATTAGGTAGTGTTTTTTTAATGGTATAAGATTATTTTTATTATGAAATTGGTACAGTTTCAAATAGCATATTTCTCAAAAAGTGCTCCTGTTTTTATTATAAGCCTGATACATATTTAATCTAGGAAATTCAGAATGAAGAAGGAATGAAGAAAATTAAACTACCCATTTTCCTGCTGTTTTGTGTGATTTTGTGAATCTTTTTTTCTAAGCCTACAATATGATCCCAATATTCTCTCCCCTCAATACACAAGCACACAGGCACACAACATATAATGTCTGTATTTTGTGCCCTACTATTTTTAGTTAACATAGTACTTTTTGATGATTGATTTATTTCAAAGTGATTTTTTTTTCTACAGTGAGAAATTCCTTCTTTTATATGGAATATCTAAGAACCACTTGGAGGAAAACTTCAGAGGGGACAACTTGCTGAGCAATACCATTTTATATTGACTTTTTCCATTCAATAAGATTAATTTTATTGTTATTTGGATTGTAAAGAGATTACAGTTAGAGACTAAAATTAAACATTACCTTTTAAAGTAATAAAGCATAAAGACAACAAAACTATGTGTTTAGACAAAATCATACAGTAACTAATTTGCCTAGAAGTTATGATATATGTTCTTAGAAAAACAAATACTTTTAAAATTCACAGATGCTGCAAAGTCCCAGTCAAATATAAATGACAATCAATTTTTATGTAACATTATAAATTCCAAAGAATTCATATTCACTCACTCATTCTCAATTTGTACCACTGAAATGCTTTTTCTTTCTGCTCACAGAATGTAAACCACATTTATTTCTATATCTGTGATATTTTTAAATAACTTATTCCAGATAACAAAATATGAACTACACTATGTTCAACTGCAATCCTCCAGAGAAAGCAAAAACTCATATTCCCTTTGAAGAGCCTCTAGCATGCTTAGTGAGAATTTTGAACTGTTTATAGAATTTGAATGTAACATCTATTTACTTCAAGAGTATAAGCTACCTTATAATTATCAGATCATTCAACACATTTAACAATGATATTTCACTTTTACTATAATAATTCACTTTTTCTCATTTGTGTTCAGTACTATCAAATGTAGAAAGAGCTTTTTACTCACCATTCTGGGAAAGATGAAATTTATCATTGTGCCATAAATTCCCTGGAAAGCAAAGAAAATATTATGCATTATAACCCCATTCACAGGAATCCTAACTGCCAAATGTAATGCATCAGAAACAAAACAAAAATGAAGTAAATCTATTGCAGAAAACACAATTTAGTGTTGTAAGAATTCTTGAATCTGTATTATATGCCTTTGGACAGAGCTACTTTAGGATTAAGCAATTGTTGTGATAAGTACTTTCAAAGTCAAGAATAAAACATTTTATTTTCCACAAAACAAATCTTATAGGCTCAAGAGAATATTGTCATCAGGTGTTTTATGGGTGTGTGTGTGTGTGTGTGTGTGTGTGTGTGTGTGTTTTCCTTCTCCCCTTTGGCTCTGTAGAATTTTACATTTGATAGACATGGATCAACTGTATAGTGCCTAAATTGAGGGAAAATTGAGGGGCCGTTTACTTTCCTAAAGTCAACATAATGACCATTTTATCATTTATATGTAAGTAAATTTTCTGTTTGGAATCTTGAACTAAAAGTCTGATTTAAAAGCTGAGAAACAAAATTAGGAATGCAAGCTCTTCATTTTCCCCACTGAATAAATGATAAAGAACCATCCACTTTCTTATGATTTTCTTTTTATTATAAACAGGGTTTTAATTGCATCACATGATAAAAATTAGAAAAAAATTGTATTTTGAAATGGTATTTGTTATCATTTTTTAAATTTTATATTTACTTTCACATTTTTATTAGTACAAAATAAGCTCAAAATCTCTAATATAAAGGAATATGTCAGAGTGTAAGAAAATAATCTTTTCTTACATCCTGATAATTAATGTTAGTAAGTGTCAGTCATTTTCTGTATGTTTTTAAGTATCCTAAACTTAATTTAGAAAACACATTCTGAATTCATCTCCTTCTGCTAAAATGAGATGATGGCTAAAGAAATTTTAATAGGTAACATAAGCAGAAAAGGAATTTGCTTGAATTTTTGGATGATGATGTTTCAGATCTTTCAATATTACAAGTGAAGTATTTTGAATAAAAATTATAGTGTGTTATTGTAATTTGAAACCATTATTTCCAGGAAAGGTAATACCTCTGTAAATGACAACTGGCTAAAATTTCAAAGTATAAATATTATGTTCACAAATCTACTGACTTTTTGCTGGAGAATAAAATTATGATTTAAAGTGTATCTTAAGATTTTCACATAGAGAATATCTTATTTTTTAGATATTTTACTCTTTTAGAAACATTTGGATAGTAAATATGGAAGTTTGGAAGTTGTAATAATTTAGGATTCTCCCCACAAATGCAGTTTCTTTTAAGGAAACTATTTTTCATAGTAAATAAAAATATTAATTTATTTCAAAATTTTTACTTATTGATTTTTAATGAAATATATTTAATGGAAAAAGTTTAAACGTAGACATACTTTGTTGCATGTGGTTTTTATTCCTAATGAATTACTAATACAATTTTTGATATTATAACTCATATTTATAATTTCTAAATGGATTAAATATTTATCAAAGTATTTTAAACACTAGCTCCTGAAGAGGGCAGCACGTTCTAGATATTACTGAATTCCAACCTCAAATATGACAGCTTTGGCTTTAGTACACTTTTTTAAGAACTAGAGGGAAAAATCGGATTTTTTTTATAGATGTCTACTCCCATGATACAAATAATCCAGCAGAAAATTCTAGGCAGCTGCATCCAAGGTCAAAACTGTAGTTGATTATTAAAGGAGAACATTCAAATTAGACACCTAAAGCAATGTATTTAGAAAGGGTACAACAAAACTCTAGTAAATAGACTTTCCACGAGGAATGTGCTTTATCTTACTACTGTAGACAACTTTTCCTATTGGCAGTGCATTGACTTACAGAACTATGAAAGGGGTTAGATTTAATTATCTTCTTGCACATTTCATTTCAATTGCTATGGCAACATTAGTTGCCTCAGCAGCAATGCACGCTTTAATCAGATATTTCCTCCTCGTTTCGTTATGAGCCAAAACTGTAGTCAAATTTACAACCAAGTCCTGATGAATCTGATAACACTTCTTACAATTTATTGGGCAACTTGCCTCCACCCACACATACAAATATTTTCAGAGAGGCTTGTAGCTGTTGGGCAAGTATAAGACTTGATAAGAATACAGTATGCATTTGGAATTTCCTACTTCATTTTTTTTCTTTTGATAAATTTGCCACCTTTACTCTATTAGAAGTTTTCTAACAATTCAAAATGCACTCCAATAAGTCACTACCATGGGTCACCTGACCTCAATAGGCATAGGCAAACCAACGAGTAAAGGAAACAACTTCTAATATTCAAATATCAACCCCCAACAAGACTACTGAGTTATTTCCCTTTTATCTGAACATACTTCGGATTGATACATAGAAGAGGCCTTTTCTATTTCTTGAAAGTGGGTAAGAGAAAGAAGGATAATAACTGAAGACAGGGGGAAACCTGATTTAGGAGGACTACTATAGAGTATCAAACTTAAATGGAGGGCCAAGCATGAAAATCATTTGGTCAAGCCTCAATAATATAATTTTAATGAGAAGTAAAGGCATGATACATTAAATTGTTGATATCACCTGGGTGAATATTAACCATCTGCATTGTTGGACAAATGATCACTTTAGCATTTTGCAAAAGACTAGAGAAACTTTAGTAGGCATAAAAGAAATATTTTCTGGTTTTGAGTCTGATTTAAAGTGTTAGCAAATGATATTTTCATAAATGTTTGGAGTTTTACAAATAGTAACTATATTTTAATTTGATCCTATGTAATAAATTTTAAACTATAATTAAGAAGCAGAGATCTAAGATCTTCCTAACAATTTTAGTGGCTGCTAAAATATGGTTTTAGGCCATAAACATTTTATTCTGAAGTTGTATAGTTCTCTGGTAAGAAATTGTACACCAGTGGCTGACAGTAATATTTTAGCATGTTTTTTCAATCAACATTTGGTAGTGTTTAATAAAATTTTCATTAATGTAGGCAGCCTAAAAGATGTTTTCTGTGGCTGGATCTGCATAAAGTTACATCATATATATATACATACATATATACACATATGTATGTACGTATGTGTGTGTATATCTATATCTATATCTATATTTATATCTATATCTATATCTATATCTATCTATCTATGACTAAATAGAGCATTTAATCAAAATTTAACCAAATATAAATAAGATTATTTACAATACAGGTCTTATGTATTTTTAAATTTTAATTGGGCCGAATATTAGCAGACTATGCTCAAAATGTGGTTATTAAAAAGCTAATTTCTTGTTAATGATTAAGTTTGGAAGCCATATAACTTTAGGAATATTCTTATGTAAAGGAGACCAGTGTTTTAGAAAACTGAGATGGATGGTAGAAATCCAGATAAGTGGATTTCTATATAAAGAAAAACTTAAAATAATTCGAAATTCTTAATGGCACAAAGTATGAAGCAGCAAGTTCCTTGTCTGGGCATATTCCATGAACTATTTGCATCTGAACTCTTTATTTCCTTCTGCTTGAATTCTGGGACAACATTATAGAAAATATAGTAGAACCACTCCTCAAATTTAGATCTGGGAGTTAAGATGAGTCACTTCTTTAATGAATTTTTTCAAGTACCAGTATTTTATGTCAGTACGGAAACCTAGCCATGATCGGCAAACAGCATATTCAGCAGCAAGTTTGCAAATCCTACTCTGGAGAAACGGTCTAAATGAGAAAACCAAACAGTTCTTAGTGAAGAGTTATCTAAAACCTCCAAGGGAACATGTAAATAGTTCCTAATTGGCATTCTTTCAAGAACCTCAGTAGATGCCAGGGAGTGACTAGAGGAGAAGAATGAGTTCCCCTTTCAGTCCTGACTTGGCTCTTCTACCTAAAGCTGGGTGCTGCACCACTGCGTCGGTCAGACTGGTTCTCTCGATGAAAGGAAGATTTTGGCACTATCTTCAAACTGTATATTCACTTAATAAATATTAATTACTCAATTAAGGATCCAGAGTTTTTCTTCTGTACCCAGAGACATTAAAAGTTGAAGAGAAAATTGCACATCATGTGGGAATGCTCATCTTCAGCAAGATGGCTGAGTAAGATAAAGGAAAGTGGTAACTGCCTGGCCTGTGTTGCTCAGTGGTTAGGTGTCGACCTATGAACCAGGAGGTCAAGGCTTGACTCCCAGTCAGGGCACATGCCCAGGTTGTGGGCTTAATCCCCGGTAGGGGACATGCAGGAGGCAACCAATCAATGATTCTCTCTCATCATTGATGTTTCTATCTCTTCCTCTCCCTTCCTCTCTGAAATCAATACAAAAATAAGTATGTAAAAAAAAAAAAGCAAAGTTGTAACCAATTTGAAGTATATATGAGGAAATTACTTATTATTTGGTCAAAGTAATGTACACTTTTTGTGTGACACTGGATCCTGTGTAGTTCTAGTCTCCGTAAGTTGGAAGTAGTCTTTTTACTTTGCTTGGTTTTGAAGTTTCCGGGTGTGATATCGCTCACTAATCACAAGGAAAGGGCCAACGGGCTCAAAAAGGTCTTGCATAATATCTAACCTTAATGTACTCCAGTGCTGTTTGGAGCATGAGACCTTTTGAAGAACGCCTGTCTACCAGAAACTTCTGTTTCTATCTAAACAACTGATTACTGGTTTTGCAATAACAAGAAAAACTAACTTTTACTTTTACTTTCAAAGATGATAGAAGGTTACACACTTCATTAAGTGTTTTATCTCCCCTGCCCCTCTAGGTCAAACCTTTACATTAACTTATGTTGTTTTAAATTCCACCTGCTGAGATTTTGCTGGCAAATGGTCTTAAAACTTGTTTCCAAAATGCTACCCACAAAAGCTTTTACTAGCCAATTCCATTTGGTTGGCTGTGCTCCAACAGTCTCTGGTGAGCACAAACATTAGCTACAGAAACCCCCATGGCACCCTGAAGGAACTTTTTGATCCAAATGACACTACTAGTAAACTGAAATGTCTTTGCAAATTCATGAACG